CGTGCACAGAGGGATGTTCACATACGCGGCTACACGTGTGGGCGCCTATCTAGGGGAACATACGCGCCCCATGCGTGGGCGTGTATGTCACGCGGTACGCGGCTGCGAGTGCAGCCGCCTATGTTGGCCAAGATAGGCGGCTGCACGTGTGGGCGCGAGTACCGCTATACGCGTCTGCACGTGTGGCCGCGTATCTTGGCTAAGATACGCGCCGGCACAGAATGACACGTATCAGGCCCCGCCGAGCTCGATGAACGCCAGCGGGTGAGGGCGGCTATTCTCCCCCGAGGCAGGCGAGGATACGCAGTCCCTCGTGTCGCGCGTGTAAGTCCCGGTTGCCGTGCGCGCCCGCGCGTGTGGCCGCGTACCTTAGCTAAGATACGCGCGCACGGGCGTGGGTGGGTAAAAACGGGTCACTTTGCGGGGTTTGCCGGCACGACGGCACCGCCTCTTCACAGCCTTGTTACCTGTATTGACATTTAATACGTCCTATCGCGCTATGCGCTGGTCTGTGAGAGGTTGAGGTGCGAGCCCTGGAGGCCCTGGGGATGGGGTGAGACTACCCGCGGGCCTAGAAGGCCCGCGCGCAGGGGGGTGGGGCATTGAGACCGGCCATGAATGAGTGCGCGACACGCATGTTGCGAGCAGCGTTGTTGATGTTTTGCGCGTCGCCACAGACGGCGGCGCGCGAGAGCTGTTGCGAGTGGTGCTGGGCGAAGCCCCGGGCGCTGCCGGAGGCTGTGCCGTAGTCGGTGCGGTCGACGGCGCTCGGGCTGCCGACCTCTTTGGCGAAGTTGAAGATGATTCTCTTGGTCGGCGGCGCAATTTTGCCGTTCACACAAAAACACAACCCCGGCCCAAGACGCACAATCTCTTCACAGTCCTTGCTTTCCTCTCCGCCCTCCACCATCCAGAGAACCCTACGCCACGGTCATGCCATGAAAAGATCGTGCGGTCGTCAACGGCGCAGCCACCTCCCACGCGTTCGTCGCGGGATCGTATCGCTCAAGCGAGCTGAGGGCCTCCCACGCATCCTCCTCCCACGCATCCTCGTCCTCCTCGCCCCTGCCGCCCACAGCGTACAACTTGCCTTCCAGCGCCGCCACCCCGGCCCCGAAGCGAGCCAGCGTCAGCGGCGCCACCGCCTCCCACGCATCCAGCGCCGGGTCGTACCGCTCCACCGAGCTGAGATGGTCACCGTCGTACCCGCCCAAGGCCACTCTCAGGCCCTACAAAGCATCAGATCATCCACTTGGGGCAGGGTTTCCGCGGAAAATTTCTTTTTCTGAAAATTCCAGCGTGAAGAGAGGGAAAACCCCGACGGGAGGGCCCAGACCTACCCTACCTACCCCGTCATGATGTACGGCCAAGCAAAAAGAATACACACCTGTTCGGCGGCTGAAAAAGGGGTGGACGCGTCTACCGCGGTCTACCGCGGTCTACCAAGTCTTCAAGTCTACCGGTAGACTGGGGTCGTAGGTTCATTACGGTCTACCGGTAGACTGCGGTCGCTCGTCTACCAAACGGTCTACCGTTTAACTCAGTCTACCCCAGTCTACCGGTAGACGGTATGTATGTATGTAGAAAGATGAACAACAGGCAGGCTCGGACTGGACACCAACGCGGTATGGGTGGACGCGAGACAGATGATGACGACACGCACGAGCGACACAAAGACACAAACAGGCTCACAAGACACACAACCAGCTGGCTGCCACACACCCTGAGACGGTAGACGGGCCGCAAAGCATACCATACCCCGGAAAAAGTTGGAACCCTGCTGCGGCCCAGGCGTTATTTCATGAGGTCCGTCTTCGTGGCTGCCACGCGGCAGCACGTTGGAAAGTCCACCACCTCGCTCGGCCTCCTCGCCGCTCTCTCCTCCCGTGTCCCGCTCGAGTCGATCGGTGTGTCCGCCTCACACTCCCACCGGCCTCGCCTCACGCCGTATTAGCGCCGTTGCCTCCCACCGGCCTCGCCTCACGCCGCATTAGCGCCGTTGCCTCCCACCGGCCTCGCCTCACGCCGCACTCGGACTCCCTGACTGGGCCAGGCTACCTCAAGCCCGTCGGGCAGCAGCACGTGGAGGTGCAGGCGGCGGCGGAGGGCGCGCCGCCTCTCCGGGTTGACAAGGACTGCCGGCTCGCGAAAGAATACTTTGGGCTTCGGTGCGAGTACAAGCACATGTCGCCGGTGCTGATGCCGCGAGGCTTCACGAAGAGCTATGTGGACGGCGAGATCGACATGGAGCGGCAGAAGCAGGCGCTGCTGCACGCCTGGGAGGCGCTGCGGGCGGCGCACCCGAACGTGGTCGTCGAGGGCACCGGCCACATGGGGGTCGGCTCCATCGTCGGCCTCGACAACGCCGC